AAAAAAAAAAAAAAAAGAAAAGCTTAAACTTTTTTGCAGCTTTGCATACTGCATTATTATTTTATGAAGCAATATAAAATAACAATATTTCTGCTTGAAAACTTTTACACGGAATGAATAGCCATTGCTTCTTTTTATTGTGGTAACATGTAGAGCAGATGCCATTTTACCCACTCTCAAGTGGATGATCCGCTGGCATCACTTACACTTCGGCAATGTTGTGCAGCCATCAGCACTACCTGCTTCCAAGACTTTCCATTACCGCAAACAGAAACTCTTGCCATTAAGCAGTCATCCCATCTCTTCCTCCCCTCAGACCCTCGGAACTCTAACCGACTTTGTGTCTGGGTGCATCTGCCTGTTCTAGGTGTGTCATACAAGTGGCGTCACGCTGTATTGTCCTTCATGGCTGGCGTATTTCGCTTGGCGTAATGGTTTCAAAGTTCATCCATACTGTACCAGGTGCCAGAGCTTCACTATCCCAAACTGCTGGGTGCTCTTCCTTTGTGTGTACATGTATGCAACCTGCCCACAGACTTGGGTTCCACCTGTTGGCGGCTGTGAAGAATGCTGCCATGAACACTGAGGTAAACCTATGTGTCTGAGTCCCCAGTGTAGATTCTTTTGGAGACATACCTGGGAGTGGAATCGCTGAGTCATAGCAATTCTATGCTTAACTTTTTGAGAAACTGCCAAACTTCTCCATGCAGTGGCATCATTTTACATGCCCACCAGCAATGTTTGGGCTCCGTGCTTTCCACATTCTCACCAACGCTTGTTACTTCCTGGATGTCTTTTTTCTTTTCGTTGCTGTTGTTGTGGTGGGGTCTCTGTTTTGTTTTGCTGCTATCCTAGTCGGTATGAAGTGGTTGATTATTCTTTTTAAACGTACTTCTTCCAGCCAGGATATATTTTAAAAAATTAAAAATAATAAAATAAATGTAGGCTGGGCGTGGTGGCTCATGCCTGTGATCCAAGCACTTTGGAGGCCAAGGTGGGCAGATCACCTGAAGTTGGGAGTTCAAGACCAGGCTGACCAACATGGTGAAACCCCGTCTTTAAAAAACTATAAATAAGTAAAATAAAATAAAATAAAAACATGTATATCTGAAGTCCAGGCACAGTGGCTCATGTCAGTAATCCCAGCACTTTGGGAGGCCAAGGTGGGTGGTGACCTTGAGGCCAGGAGTTCGAGACCTGCCTGGCCAAAATGGTGAAACCCTCCTCTCTATTAAAATATGAAAAATTAGCAAGTGTGGTAGCACAAGCCTGTGGTCCCAGCTACTCAGGAGGCTGAGGCACAAGAACTGCTTAAGCCAGGGAGGCAGAGGTTGCAATGAGCTGAGATCCCAGCACTGCACTCCAGGCTGGGTGATAGAGCAAGACCCTGTCTGTCTGTCTGTCTGTTTCTCTCTCTCCCTCTCTCTCTCTCTCTGTGTATATACATACATATATATGTATGTATATACTTCTGCAAATCCATGGTTTTTCTTGAAATAAGTCAAAACTTCTTTCATAAACCTCAAAGAAACAAGCAAGTGAAAGCAGCAGCAGCAGCAGTGCCAACATAATACAATCATTCCCTTAACTAATACTGCCACGCTGGCGCGGTGGCTCACGCCTGTAATCCCAGCACTTTGGGAGGCGGAGGTGGGCGGATCACAAGGTCAAGAGATC